CTCTTTCTAACACCGCTTGAACAACATCCGGGAATTTCTCTTCCCAATCCCCAGAAATTAAGAATCTGTCCAGCCTTGAAAGAGTGATTGGATCCCTACCATTTGACCAAGTATAAGCTGCTTATTCCATCGGTAAATCAACAAGAAGATGCTCATCAATAAAATCAGAAAAGTGATCCATTTCCAAAGATCTTCTCCCCCCTGTAGACCTCTCTGACGGGGACCTAACAGCGTTGAAATCCCCTCCCAGGCACCAAGGGGAAGACCACAATCCTTGGACATGGCAGAGCTCCTCCCAAAAGATAGGTCACTCATCATCAACAACTGGTCCATAGACTCCAGTAAAAACCCACTTGAAGTTGTCCTCTTCCATCTTAAGCATACAAGATACAGAAAATCTCCCCATCCATACATCCGTTCGAGATAACCACCTATTATCCCACATAACTAAAATACCACCCGAAGAACCTATAGCATTCAAGGCCTCCCATTCCACAAACCTTCCTCCCCACAAACTCTTAACCTCCTTGTCAGTAATGGAGGCCAACTTGGTTTCTTGTAAGCAAACAAGCTGGGCACCCCACTTCCTTAAAGCTACTTTCACCACCCTTCTTTTGTTCGGATCGTTAAGACCACGAACATTCCATGAAATGATTCGTAACTTCATTGTAAACCAGATAAAATAATCTCCCCTCCACCCTTCTTGAGACTTCTGCTCCTGGTTCTTCCCCTTTCCTTCGCCACTCCTCCTTTCCCTTCGTAATTAACTTCAGAAATGAGATTCTTTATCTCCTGTACTCCTTTCCAGGATGATAAAGGCTTTGTATTCATAACTTCATTGGTCACTGCAAGCTCTCTCCCTTCCACAATTGCTTGAAGGATAGATAATGTCTGATTATCATTACCTTCCGAAGAAACTCCCAAAAGCTCACTAGTGACTCCAACATTGTCAACAACCCAATCTTTCCCCATATCAACACCCTGTTCGTCAGGTCGCACCATAGCCAATGGTGCCTCCTGTAGGATTTCAGGACCATTCTCCACCCATGGTGTAAGGTCATTGGAGCAAACCTGTTGGATAGAACCCAAATCCTCATCCACCTCCTCTTCCATCTCCCTATCATTCTCATAAAAAGAATCAGATCCTGTAACAAAATCAGTCCCGTCAATCCCTGTGTAAGGCAGGTAATTAAGACCTTTCAGAGCAACGCTTAATCGAAGCTCTTTGATCAAGGCTACAGCCTCTTCATTGGACAACTGGAAATGCAGGTCTCTGCCCACACAAACTGTGACTCCTTCAGGAAATTTATTGACTGCAGAATCTACAATTATCATCTGCCTAGAAACGCCAGATTCACTATCCTTCAGTCCTTCCGTATTCAACCCATTCGAGGAATCATTTCCATTGTCCGTGACAGCCAACTCGCATTTCTTCTCTAGTTCCAGCACAATACCGGCACTCCTCACCACACAAGGGGTAGAAGAAGAGGATGGGTCATTAAAAATCTGAGGATGTGAAACTGATGGCGTACCTGGAACATTAGTAGAAGACCACTTTTGCTTCTCTTTTCGTGACCATCTAACACCTTGATGATTTCTGTTGAAATCCCGAGAAGAAGACCTGACAATTCTTCCTTTCGACTGAAGAGTATCAGAGAGAGATGATGATGAGATATCTGCACAACATTGAGAATGACGAGAACCCATCTCAAAATGACCTCCACCATTCGCTGCAGCAGATAATTTCAGCCATTTTCTCTTCTCCGGAGAATTCCAGAAAAATGCAGAGGACTCTTCGGAACGACGCCGCTGTAAGTGACTAACTTCTTTACAAATAGATGGGCTGGGCTTGGAATTGATAAGAGAAACTATCATTTTGTTTTTGGGCCCTCTCAAAACCTTTCTCTTCAGGTCGGTCACATTTGGTCCATGACTTGAGATGGACTGTGGGCTGGACTTATTCTTAAAAGAAAGAGTCCCCCGATGAATAATCCTTTGCGGCTCCTGTGGGCCGGGATGAACAAGCGACCCATTTGACGGAATAGGCCCATAACCCACTTCAGATCCGCGCTTTGGCCCATTAGAATCCGCAGTATTAAAGACTCCTTTTAAACAACGATCTCTGCCACGTGGTTGGTATCCGTTAGCGCGGATATTACGAGGGAGCAAAAGGCGTTGACTAAGGACTTGATTGATGGCCCCTCTATGCGCTACTGGCGCGTGAATAGGCGAACGAAAAAGAAGCAGAGGTTAGTATCATGCCCAACATTGCATTACAACTTAAGAGTTTGCAAATTTCATAACAAAAAGCCCAGTCTCTAACCTTTAGTTTTGTTTATTTTACTTTCAAAAGTTGGTTTAGTTAGTTAGAGCTAGGATTTAGCTAGACTCTATGGACTCTGAAGAGAAAACAATTGAAGATCAAAAGGTAAAAATGTAAATTCACATCCTGAATTATAACTCACCAAATATGGATTTGGTGACTTATAATTGGGCCTAGAGAACTGTGATTTATCAAAAGCCCAGGTCAGCGGTCCTAATCTCAATTGTTATCAAGTAACTATGTGGAATATTTCAACGTCGCCATATATTACCTGCTCTGTTCTTTTATTTCATTTCACTTTTGACCTTCAAATTACAACAACAATTAGATGGTGTTTGAGGTAGCTTCTAACACCCAAAAGTCCATCATTGAGAGGACTTTGCAGAAAGAATTTCATTAGAGGGAAATTCAAAATAAAAAACATTTTTGTTAGATGTATTTTTCAAAAGTCCTTTTAATTATTAAAATAGTTTTTAATTGACAATGTTACCCTCTTGTCCTCTCCGCCCTTTTCCAAAATATATTTGGTTTGTTGCAATCCCCCATCCTCCCTCTCCCGCTCCACCACAGCCACTATCAGTTGCAGTAGATCTATAACTGTAAATGGCTGCATTTTTGTTGAATACAATGAAGCTTAAATTGGTACAAATAATACAATGCGACCATTAATTGAAAAATTAATTGGGTAGAGGGAAGATCTATCAGCTCAACAGAAAACACATAAGACATGATAGCCCTTTTCACTACAAAATACCATACATCACTTTCACAATCAAAGCAAGGTTTTGGAGACCCCCACCACCCATCACCATTAATCAAAAAATAAGTAGCAAAAATAAATGAAGTTGAAGTATTATATATAACCGTCAAAAGTAGTATCCTCAGAGTAAATATTATCTCTCATACCAATTAATGTAGTATATATATCAAAGATCACATATTTAAAACTTCAAAAGTTCAAGCAGAGACAAGGACAGCTATGAGAACATAAATGCTCCAGAGACAGGTAAAGAGTGGGCAGATCTGATGTCCGGCACTGGCAATGACAAGTCATTGACAAACTATGAGCTGGAATTGCTCAAAAACCCCACCACCATGTGCAGCATGGAAATTAACTATTACAACCATTCTCTCAGTGTCGCAATACCCATCACCAACATTCATATACCACCATGGTCAGTTCTCTCTCTCTCTCTCTCTCTCTATATATATATATATATATATTATTGGGACAGAGGAAGCACACGAACATCGAAATCCAATGAGAGCAAGAAAGCAATCACACGCAAACATAAGATCTAACGTGGTTCGGCCAAAACCAGCCTACATCCATGGATGAGAAGAGATTCCACTATGATTCCATAGAGATATTATAACAATAGAGTACCAACACCGTGTACATGTCTTTTCACCATGTACCACTCCACGACCCTGTCTCCTTGCTATCAGTGCCACTACCAACCCATAAACTACCTCTACCCATCAACTACCTCATGAGATTACATCTCTCTCAATCTCACAAGTCTCAACCATAACCTATGTACCTATATATAGAGTGCTAGACCCAATTCCTTGTTGGACAAGGATTACAATTCCTTTGAGTCCAACACTTGCCTAACAAGAAATTAAATAATAAAATACAACTCTAGAACAAAAACCTAATTAAACTAGGAATTTGAGACACAAGTCTGAACATATATATATTAGCAAATGGGAAATCATGGGACGATCATCAAAAAAAATATGGTCAACTTTTCACTGAAATTTATTATTTAATTAACCCATCTACTTCAGGAGAACTCATTTTCAAAGAAACTCTCAGAAGCTTCAATTAAAAAGACTTTTGAAGAATTGGACTTCTCCTAAAGCCCATTTGCTTGGCCTCACTAAACGCTCGTGTTTACTTAAAAGGCACTTTTAGTTGGAAGTCCTTTTAGAGCCTCAAAGTAAAAGTGATCAACAAGACAAACTCAATTTTAGACACACAGCTAACAGTGGTGCACTCAGATAGAACAGAAGTCACCACAAAGTAATAGTTACAAGGCACTAGCGCAACTTAGACTTCAAATCCTCCAACTCTTATTTTGGCTTTAGGATTTTGGATGATGTTTGACTTGGATTACAATGCACACAATATACAGAAATATGTGCAAGGAAAATAAATAGTGATAAATAACTAGAAACCCTTTCTAGAATGCGCATCAATAATAAATAATTGGCATTTAACTTATGATCTTGGGTACTTTATCATTTACTATCACGAATTTATTTCTATTAGCGGATTTAAATATTAAATTTGCACCCTCTCTAATAGCTTAAGCTTTTGGAGTAGATGGTTGTTGACATGGTATTAGAGCCAAAGGTCTCAGGTTCAAACCTCACCGTCACCCTAATTAAAATTGAAAAACACCTGTTGGACCAAAAAGAAGGCCACATGTGAGGAGTGTTAGAGGATTTAAACATTAAAATTACATCCTCTCTAATAGCTTAAGCTTTTGGAGTAGATGGTTGTTAACAATTTCTATAGAAGCAACTATCATGGATTCTCTGCCATTGAAGGTCAGAGTGAAACAAAAGTTATACCCACCAAAGAAAAGAGGAACATCAAGTTATATGTACAGCCAACGCATTGCTTATCATTTGATAAGTGAACAAAATTCTAAAAAAAAGTTCATACCAAAATAGTGACAGCTTCCTTGACAACTCCTGCTATTGTCACTGTTACTGCACTAGTTACAGAGACAAGGATGTATTCCGTCAATACCTGCAACAAGAGGAACAGGTTAATTTTTTAAGTGGAAACACAGTCCAAGGAACCCATCATATATGTGAAGATTACAAAACAGCATCATGAGAAGAATGTAAAATCCGAATACTCATCTCCAAATAATTAGTGACTGGAAAAATACTCCCACCCCCAAAACCATAAGAAGAAGAAGAAGAAGAAGAAGAAGAGAGAAATGTGAAAAAATAATATAAAATTGGCAAGAGTTCAATCCCAGATACCTACCATTAAAAAAGCCAGAGTTCCACCAAAAAGCATCAGCAAGCAAGTTCGCATTAAATGCCATGAGCTATTGAAGTAATCATTCGTTTTGAATTCATTCCATGGATCCAATATAAGAGAAAGTATAGCAGTTACCACTGTCATTACTGGAGCCACATAGCTCATCAAGGTAAGTGGATTTTTCAGACCTGAGAAGAACCAAATTAAAGAATCTTAAAGTTATGTTTGATGTATAAACTTAAGTTCAGAAGAAGACATCAGACGGGTAAAAAAAATTCCTTAAGACAAAGCCTCAAAGATTGCTTTCCTACTTGGTTGAATCACCAAGCTTGATAATTTTTAAGCCTGATTATATTGAGGTGACATGAGCACCTACGATTGATGAAAATCCCTTTGGAACAGATTTGACAAGAGAAAAAATCTTAAGAATGACCCATCTAATAATAATAATAAACTGACTCCATTAGGACAACATTTTCAAGTAGAAAAACAGAACAAACCCCAAGTCTTTGCCAGCTTTTGGATGCAAAGCAGATGCCATGCTCTAAACCCTTTAAGTAACCGCATCTTTATCACACACGGAAGCGCACACAACTAAAACAATGTTAAACGTGACCCACATAGTTAAGAAAAATTAACCGCATATGGACAACATTTTCCACACACAAAAACACATCCCATTTGACATCTCAAAATAGGGACATATCGAGTCATACAATGTGATTTAGTAGGATAGCGTAAACCATCAGGTGTATATCTCCAGGAACTACTTCCTCCAACATATAATTGGCAGTATTTTTGTGCTCTTTTATTTAGTGAAACCTTGCATCTTCCCTGAATCAAATAAAGTTCTATAATTCATTGTTTACCAAACTCATGAGTATTTTTTTACTTAAGAATAAAATGACACCCAGTAGTCCGACACATAACACTCACCAAACTCTGATTCTTGCAAATGTCAAACCAAAACCAGGGTTATCCAACACTGGTTTTATTAATATAATTTCATCACATTACTTTGCAGTGCTACAATTCGCATTAGAACAGCAGAGGATAGTGCTTACCATAGGTTTCTTTCTTTAAGTTGGTTTGGGATCAGCACACACGAACAGAATGAAAGACCAGGATCCAAACCGACAAAAATAAAGTAGGCACACATATCATTAAAACTGAAATAACTTCAATATTTATAATTCAAACACCAGCAATCATACTGAAAGGATGTAATTAGATCAGACGCAAGTTATACCTGAAGAAGAATCTGAGTCATGGTCCAGCGAAACCCGGACATAACAGAAGCAAGCATAACAAAAATGAAACCCCACAACTCAAATTCTGTCTCCTTTGCAACTGTGATACACAGTGTTACAGATCGGGATTCAACATAAAGAAAAAATTTAGATTGAATAAAATGGAAAGAAGAGGAGGCGCACATAATGAATTTCATCATATGTATTAACAATAAGGAGGCTGGTAGCCATCAAATTTAGATCAGTGATAAGAAGGAAATGAAGAAAAGAAAGAAAACATTGTTGTCAGGGGCTTATTCGTTACTACTTATATATTGTTGGGGCTTATGTGTAATTTCTTAAACTTATTATTATAAATATAAAGTGGAGGAAGGATGAAAGCTTTCTTTCATTCTTTCTCTCTTTCCCCATCTCTCTCTCTTTTCCTCTCATCCTCTGTCTTCTCTTTTTCTTCTTCTTATACTTTATTCTTTGATTTGATTATCTCTTAGGGTTTGTCTGGTTAGCGTGAAGTAGGTAGAAAGGAAAAGAAACGGTATATTTTTTAATTTTTTGGAGTTTGGTTACCTAGAAATAGAAAATTTTGGGGAAAGTGGATTCCTGTATCGGATAAATTTTCCTAAAATATTTTCCCGCATAAAACACAAGAAAGTTTACTTTCTCGCTTGAAACTGTCATTTAATTTCTAAATTTCCTATTATGCCCCAATTGAATTGTTTCTCCAATTTTTTTCAAAGAGGTTATTAAGTTATGCCATCTATTTACTAGGACACATATTTGGATTCATCATATCTAATACCGTCGTTGCCTAAATTTTTTTAAAATAAATTAAGAATTGAATAGTAGAATTATATTACTTTTAATTTTTATCAATATATGAGAAGACATGAATTAGAGTCATATGGATGGAAATCAAAATAATATTTATTTTTTATTATTTATACAGTTTTGCAATTTAATAGAGTTTTATACTCGAATAAATGTGATTTTTGTATAAAAAAATTTGCATGGTTCATAGTCATAAAATATGGTAGTGGACCGATAAATTATGCATGAACCAAAAAATTATTATGCATTAACTATAAAATGTTACTTTTGCATGACCAATTTTATCCTAGAGTATTGTCATTTAGTGTTTCTTCGAGGGGCTTGCAAAAAATATTATATTTAATATTCCAATAAAAACACGAGTATGTTATGATAAATGAACTACATTCTACATATGAATATAAATAATTATTATTTAAAACACAAAATAATAAGAATTTGATAACTAAAATCCAGTCCTCCTTAGTTTGTTCTAATTTAAATATGAATATAAATAATAATAATAATTATTAATAATCCATCATTTTACTATTTATTTGTTAAAAATTAATATAAATAATTACGTATAAAGAGGATTCATCTAACACAAAATTAATTTATTTTTAAGTATTTGAAATCATGAGGGTAGTTTTGGTAAGTAAATCATTTTCTTTTCTTTTTCATGCTATCCAAATTAGCAAAATAATATTTTCCCACAACTTTCATAAAAAAATTTCCTACTAACCAAATGCATGCTGGAAACTTGATTTTCCTTTCTTTCACTTCACTTTCTTTCACTTTCACTTTCCATCATACATTTCTGTCTAACCAAACGGACCCTTAAAGTCGACATAGTATCAGAGCATGGTTTGTAAAGCTCTAGGTGTGCAGTTAAAACTCTAGAGCATGGTTTCCACATTATCTAGTGGGCCACCCTGGATCATTGATTCAGGAGCCACTGATCACATGAATGATATGACATCTGATTTTTCTTCGTACAGTTTATGTTCTGGTAAAGATAAGGTTAGAATGGCTGATGGTGCCTTCACCTCCATTGCGAGGAAGGGCACTCTTTTTCTGCCTCTCCTAATCTTACCTTTTCCTCTGTTCTTTATGTCCCAAAGTTTATCAATAACCTCCTTTTTGTCAGTCACATTACAAAAGGCTTGAATTGTACTGTAACCTTTTTTCCATCTCACTGTGTGTTTCAAGACTTGGATACAGGGAAGACGATTGGAAGTGGACGTGAGGACAATGGCTTGTATTTGCTGAATGCGAGGCCAACATCTTATTATGTTGCAAATCAATCTAGCGTTAGGAATAGTAATGTAAATAAAAATCTGTTAATGCAATGGCATAATAAACTAGGTCATTTACCTCTTCCTGTTTTGAAGCATGTGCTTCCCTAGTTTGCTTCTGTTGAATCTTTTGAGTTAAATTGTGAAACATGCGTTCTTGCCAAACAATGTCGTGTTTCTTTTCCTACTAGTATTAATAAAAGTATAGCTCCTTTGCAGCTTGTTCATTCTGATGTGTGGGGTCCTGAATCTACTACTTCATTACTTGGTTTTCGTTACTTTGTGGTGTTTGTTGATGACTTTAGTCAATATACTTGGCTTTATCTAATGAAAACCAAAGATGAAGCTCATTCCATTTTAAAACTTTTCATAGGATGATATGTACTCAGTTTGGTTGTCCCCTCAAAATCCTTCGATCTGATAATGGAGGAGAGTTTATGTATAGTGGTCTTGCCTCCTTTTTTGCTGATAACAGGATTGTCCATCAAACCTCCTGTGTCGATACACCACAACAGAACAGTGTACCTGAAAGAAAACACAGTCATATTACGGAGGTGACCCGTTCTCTTCTAATTGGGATGGGAGTGTCTAAAAGTTATTGGGCTGATGCAACCTTAACAGCTACATACCATATCAATCGCATGCCTTCCAAGGTTCTTGGCTATCAATCCCCCTTCTCTGTCTTACACCATCACACTGCCTTGTTCACTGTCCCTCCGAAAGTGTTTGGCTGTGTTGTTATGTTCACATTCATCATCGAAAGGACAAAATGGACCCCAAGGCAATCCGACGTGTCTTTCTTGAATACTCCGCCACTCAAAAAGGGTATCGGTGTTATAACCCTACCACCCATCGTCGCTTTGTCTCCATGGATGTTACATTCTTTGAGTCTGTTCTTTTTTTTTTTGCACTGTTCGGAATTCTATACAAGGGGAGACTACTATATAGGTAGAGAATCCATCATCCATTCAGAGGGAATGCCCCCTTCCTTTGCCTATTCCCATTCAAGGGGAGCTTCTAACTGAGGTGCCTATGTCTGGTCCTCCTACCACTAATGATTTGCAGCAGGGAAAGCAGCCAATTGTTTACACTAGGAGGTCAAAACAAGTCATTGACTCATCCCAGGACCAAGAAGTCTCCCTCGATCCAGGTAATTCCTCAGTTGACATTGATACTCCTGATTCTTTTGCCAATAGTATTCCTTTTGATCTTAATGTCCCTATTGCCTATCATAAGGGTGTTCGTAGTTGTACAAAACATCTCATATCTCAATTTGTATCCTATGATGCCTTATCTCCAACATATCGTGCTTTCACTTCATGTATCTCCTCTGTATATGTTCCTTTTAGTGTTTCAGATGCTCTCAGTCAAACTCCATGGAAGGAAGCCATGCTTGAAGAGATGAAGGCCCTTGAGAGGAATGGTACTTGGGATATTGTTCCATTACCTAGGGGTAAGAAACCAATAGGCTATAAATAGGTCTACACAGTAAAGTATCATGCAGACGAAACAATTAAAAGATATAAAGCCCGGTTAGTTGCAAAGGGCTTCACTCAGACCTTTGGAATTGATTATTTGGAAACATTTGCTCCAGTTGCCAAGATGAACTCTATACGTGTCCTTTCTTTTGGCAGCCAATTTGAATTGGCCTTTATATCAACTGGATGTAAAGAATGCTTTCCTTTATGGTGACTTGGAGGAAGAGGTGTTTATGAATATGCCACCAGGGTTTAAGCTTGCCAATGGTCAGAACGTAGTGTGCAAGCTAAAAAAAGCCTTGTATTGGTTAAAGCAGTAGCCACAAGCTTGGTTTGAGAGGTTCAGCACTGCTGTAAAAAGAGTACGGTACACACAGAGTCAGGCATATCATACTCTCTTCATCAAGAAGCACCAGGGCTGCACCACTGCCCTTATTGTATATGTTGATGATATTGTTATCACTCGAAATGATCCAAAAGAGATTCATCGAATGAAGTCATTCTTAGGGACAAAGTTTGATTTTAAAGACCTCGGATATTTGAGATACTTTCTTGGCATCGAGGTGTGCAGATCGAAGAAAGGGGTGTTCATTTCTCAACGGAAGTATGTGTTCGATTTGTTAGATGAAACAGGCAGGTTTGGAGCTAGACCTATTAATATTCCCATTGAGCAGAACCATAGGCTTGATGATGTAGATAGAGACCCATTAAACGATGTGGGGAGATTTCAGCAATTGGTTGGGAAACTGATTTACCCATCTCTCATGCGCCCAGATATTGCCTACGTTGTTAATGTGATTAGTTAGTTTATGCATGCTCCACGTACACCTCACCTTGAGGCAGCTCATCATATTCTTCGTTACCTCAAGGGTTCACCTGGTAAGGGGATATTGTTCGGCCGTCATGGCCACTTGCATGTTGAAGCCTATACTGATGCTAATTGGGTAAGGTCTCTGACAGATCGACGATCTACTTCAGGATATTGCACATTTGTTGGAGGTAATCTTGTTTCATGGCGAAGCAAGAAACAGCCTGTTGTGAGTTGTTATGGCTATGAACGATGTTGGGTGAGTTGGGTTATCCTTTTCGTGAGTCAATGAAGTTGTATTGTGACAACAAGGCTGCTATTAGCGCTGCCCATAATCCAATTCAACATGATAGGACAAAGCACATTGAAGTCGATCGACACTTCAACAAGGAAAAGCTTCGTCTTGGGCTGATTTGTACTCCATACGTCGACACACATGATCAGGTTGCTAATGTTTTGACTAAGGGTGTAAGCAAGACTTGCTTGCAAAATATGTTAGTTAAGTTGGGCATGATACCAACAGGCTAGTGGCCTAGCGGTACCAAGCTCCTACTTCCCAAAGGGAGGTTAGGGTTCCAAGCCTCGGTGGAGGCATACATGTGATTAAGATAAAAAAATAAAAGAGTTGGGCATGATAGATATCTTTGCACCAACTTAAGGGGGAGTGTTGTCAGGGGCTTATTTGTTATTACTTATATAATGTTGGGGCTTATGAGTAATTTCTGAAACTTATTATTATAAATATAATGTGGTGGAAGGATGAAAGCTTTCTTTCATTCTTTCTCTCTTTCCCCATCTCTCTCTCTTTTTCTCTTATCCTTTTTCTTCTCTTTTTCTTCTTATACTTTATTCTTTGATTTGATTATCTCTTAAAGTCAACAAACTTTCCATGAAAGGAAAACTAATTCAAGAGAATCAGATCCTTTTATTGAGTAGAGTCTATGGTTAAATCTTGAAATGCTAAAAAGCAATGAGATGTATCATTGTGCATGTTGATGAAGTACATGAAGAACAAAAAGAAAAACTAAACATGTTATAGAACTAAATTGATAGGAACTTTGCAAATTATAAAGCTGCATACCTGTTAATAATATTCCAGTAGAAATAATTAAGATGATACCTAGAAGTTTAACACTTGGAGACTCCAACCTTCCATAGAAAGTTTCGACATTACAATCCAAAAAAGCAGGTGATTCAAAAGAACTTAAAAGTACCTTTTATAGAATAATACCCACTAGGGACACATGATGGGCAGATAATTTTTATATGGCAAATATTAGATGATACAGTAATGAAATCACAAAACAATCACATTGTGAACACTTCAATTGAAAGGGAAAGTGTTGCTAAGGTAGTGCATGCTGATGACAGTAAATTACCTTTTGTCATTCTGCTAGTGAAGTTATCCTTCAATTCAAAAGCCAAAATATGTTTTGTATTCTTAAACCTCTTTCTCTAAGATAGCAATTCCATGAACAACCTTTCTCATCATTTCTGGATGTGGTGAGGCTCCCTCGCCTCGCGCAAGGAGGGATAGTGAAGGCCTCACAAACACCAAGAGGACCATCGTTCAGGGCATTTTGAGATTTTTGAGGTACGACTTGAAGGCTTGTTTGGTCGGGAAATTTGATAGAAAAATGGGAGATCAGAATCAAATTACAGCCAGGACAACTAAATCATGGAGACTCTCTAGGGGAGTTGGGGTGCCGCCGTTGCCAGATTCATTACTTCTATTCTGGTTACCATCGCATGTAGAGGCGATTCAAGTGTTGATGGAACGTAGAAGGCAGTGGGGCGATGCAACTTGGCGAATAGACATGTGGAGGTTCAGGGTGGATTGCTCAGGTGTATTGAAAGATAAAGGGAAGAGAAGATTGATATTGTATGGACTTCCTCTGCACCTGTGCTTTTTCCATGGTATTCGGTGATATGCGTGGAGGATTTCTGGGAGTGGAAGCCGATGAAAGAGTGGATGCAGAGAAGGTTCCAAATTTCCAATCATGGTTAATGTTGGTGGCTCGTACCCTCCATCAATTTACGTCCACAACAATCTGTTATGATACAAGGTTGCTATACAGGAAGAGACCATACTGGAGTTAGTACAACAGTGTTGAGTCTCCCTGTGCGGGTTGTGGGATCGCTCGTGAAGGAAGAAGATTGGTGGATGATGCAGAAGAAGGAAGGAGGAAAGTTGCACAAAGAAAGGGTTGAAAAAGGAAGAAGATAAAGCCGTGCAGACCACGCACTGGAGGAGTGTGAGCCTGGAGAGGGGAGGGGTGGAAGGGCACATATATCAGGAGGCTGAGGCCTTATCCAGTTGTGGGGGGAACTACTAGCACAACTGGTGGGGTTTTAAATAAATCAGATTTTATTTGAAAAACTGTTAATTTTAATCAATCATTGGCATATAATCCCAACAATTAGCGGATGATAGGCTATTGCACTTTCTTGGGGTGATATGGTAACTTGGCGTATGAGGACCTGTCCCTTTTTCCATTTTTCCCAATTTTCTTTTTTTGACATTTTCAGGTCTCGGGTCATGTGGGACCAGGTGGGGTCAAGTGTTCGGAATTTTTTTCTAACACTTTGCATGTATCATTTTGGGATATATGGGACATATATATTTCATTTGGGACACATTGGACATCATGTTTTATTTTGGGGCGATTGCGTTATTATTTTCTAAGATATTTTAATTTTGGGCCTTTTTGAGATTTTTGGAAATCGGCGGGGCCCACAGGATATATTTATGCATACAGGTGTGTTGGAGGAGAGAGAGATCAGATTTCTTCCCCCTCCTTGACCCGCGCTCTTCTCTCCCTCTTTTATTTTCTTTTTCCTTTTTGCTTCAAGTTTCAAGGCTTTGATTTGGCACTCTTCCACTTTGTTTCTTGCTCGGCCATAGAAGGGTTCTATAACTTGGACACCAAGGGCTTCAAAACCCTTGTTTCTATTTTCCGTTCAGGGCATTTTGAGATTTTTGAGGTGATTTCAAAATCAGATTTTGGGGCGGCCATAGGAGGGTTTATCGTTCCCCTCATCATCCTCGTCGGTCCTTCAAAGTTGTAGCTCAATTGGAGCACCTTTGATTTTGGAGTTTTTGAGATTTTCATCTCAAATGAGGTAGGGATGTGTTGCGTATGTAAGACTACGATTTCTTTGCACTTTGTGAGTTAGAATGGGTTATACATGCATATGTGTGTGTGTGTATATATTTAAAATTTCATACTTGGATTAGTAATACTTGTTAATGATAAGTCAATGATATTATTATTGATTGCATGCCTAATATGTTAATTGGAATTGTTATTGCAATATTAGTTGATAGCCAAGGTGCTTACCTAATGTTGTAAATTTCGTATTTGTGTATATAAGTGTTACACTTACTTTGGAGGTTATGTGGATGATATTGTGAGCTTACTTTTGGAAGTATGACTGTGGATATCTATGTTGTATTAGATTTGATAAAATGCCCTCTTGATTATATAGGGTCAACTACGAACAATTATTGCCTGTGTGGTTGTCATTGCATTAATGAGCATGCCATGATAGTATTGGACTTTAGGACATGATTCGTGTGGAAAGCATGAGCTTATGTGCGCTTGCAATGTGCAATTTGGATATATATATTGGTATATTCTTACCTTGAGGAATTTGGATGATGATTTTGGGATATTCTCGGGGATTATTGTAAGGTTTGATCCGTGACAGTTAGGGCTTGGCACTAGCAAGTGAGCTCGGGCTCTCCAACTTTATAATGTTCATTACGTTTGTTCCTTGCGGTTTAGTAGACCGAAAATAACTCTTTAGACGGTTGGTTGCCGTGGTTTTATTTCGGAAAGACCACTTTTACCGGTTCATGCAATGTGTATGACTAGGGGTGCGTGTGGATCAAGATATCCCTCTCCTTTGTTGATTTCGAATCTATTTCTAAGTTGACTTCCATGTGTAGTTGCAACTTGGTTTATTGTTATTATTTCCAATTCCGGTTTTTGTTGCAAGTTGGCATCCATGTGTAGCTGCAAGTTGAATACTTGTTTTATTTCATATACTACATATATGTTTACTAGAAATGGAATGGGTGATGCATATTTATATTGAGGAATTTTTTCTTTTTTTGATAAGTAAAAGTTTATTAGAAAAGCGCTCAAAAGGGGAACGTGTCCCTAATACAGAAAACGAAAGCTGAACCTAAGGACCAAATATTTATATTGAGGTTTATAAAATGAAATGGATATGTCTAAGTACAATTGGCAGCTTAGGATGATGCTTTTAGGAAATCCCCGAAAATAGACGTTCACTAGCATGTCCCTTTGCATTTTTGACACGGGCTACTCTTGTGAGGCCAAAGGAATGTAGTTTGTGTATGTACCTAGCATATTTCCTACTGAGCATTGTAAGCTCACCCCTCGTTGATTCCCCTTTCAGGTTGAAGCAAGGCTATTAATGAACACGCATCTCTTATTTGTTTTAGAAATGTAACTTGATGTATATGTTTATTTGTTGCCATACTGATGGTCACTAGTTTGGCTATTGTAATCTGAGCTAAGGTATATAGTTGTTGATGTAATCTTACTTACAATGTATGGTTCATTTTGTATAAATGATGTAACAAGGCCAAAAGCCATTTTCATATCTATGTATGGACTTCATTTTGATATACACTCCATGTATGATTTCACACACGCATTGGGCCCACAAATTGTCCTTGCCATGCGTAGACATTTTGGAAGACTTATTTATTATGTTTGAGCATTGGGCATACTTAGGAATCATTGGGTTTAAGATTGTTGCATTTCATTTCTTTCACAGAGGCATGTTTCTGCTTCCAGGTAGTTTCAGCCGTCCGATTCATCAGTTTCAGCCGTCTGACTCTGAGAGTCAGCCGACTGATTTAGGTTTTTCCCGGAAAGTGTTCTGCCAGGATTTTTGCCTAGTTTCAGCCATCTGACTTTCCTGCTTCATCAGCTTTGTGTTGTCATCTTTATACAGCCATATCTCCCTCATTTTTTATCCAAATAGGGTCAAATTTGTGTTCAAACTGACAGTCTTGAAGTCAGCTTTCCATTGATGCCAATCTCACTTAGAGATTCCAACCGTAGAGTGATTTATGACCTTGTTTTTGAGAAACGTTTAGGTAATCTCACAATCCGAGGATGCCCATTTGTGGGAATTCATCTCCCATTTGTTTAGGACCTTGTATAGTGTTTTAATATGACTTGCATGATGTTTGATGCATCTTTTGGGTCACATTAGCCATGTAGGCTAATGTGGGCATTAGTTTCCGTGTTCGTGATCATTTTTTATTCCTTGTCCTTAGCTTCTGCAGTTGCTCTTGAGTTTTAGTCTCGTAGACTTCGTTGTGGTTCTCTTGTTGTCCTAGAGATGGTATTTGTCTTGAGTGACATCTTCTTTTGTATTCGCTTCCGCATTTTGGACTCGGGTTCCGGGTCAGGTTTGGGTTTCCTAGTTAATGCACCGGATCATGGGATTTGGGGCGTTACGTGGCAGATCAAGAAGCAACTAGTAGTAGCAAGATCAAATGGTAAAGCAGAGTACACAGCTCTGCTGCATGGAGTTTGTGAGCTTATGTGGCTTTAGAGTTTGAGTGATTTGGGAATGAGTGATGATGTACCTACGAGATTTTATCATGACTACAAGGAAGCCAATAATATTGTTCATAATCCAATTAAACATGATAGAACTAAATATATAGAGCTTGAATAACACTTGATTAAGGAAAATCTAAATATTGGATTGATTTGTATGTCCTTTGTGAAGTCAGAACAATAGTGGGCAAGTTTGTGTAGTATAGCTTTTCATTCTATTATATGCAAGTTAGGCATGAGAGATATTTATGCACCAATTTGAGGGGGAGTGTTAGAATAGTTTAGGTTCTAGAATACTTTAGAGCGGGGCATTATTTTAATTACCACAATTATTAAGTAATATAAATATGAGGATGTAGAGATGAGTATCTCAAAGAGATAAAACCCTTCTTCCTTTGTATTGTCTCTATATATCTCTCTTTCATCATTCTCTCAAACCCTTTCAACCCAGTTTCAATAAGTTTTGTTTTCCAATGGTATAATTTTTCTCAAGAGCTGTAGACATTTCACGTACAAAACCTGTTCACTTAGAGTCCACTAACATATGTCATGACACATTTTAGCCTTTTATTCGATAGGGGCAAACTATTTTTATAATTATGTAGATAACGGGTAAAAAAACTAGTGTTCACATAAGGCAAATAAATTACAGTTGCAGTAGCTAAAACATATATGATTCGATAGGGGCAAACTATTTTTATAATTATTTAGATAATGGGTAAAAAACTAGTGTCCACATAAGGAAAATAAATTACATTTGCAGTAGCTAAAACATATATGCAATAATATTACAATGGGGACATGAATCCTAGCCACTGTCATTAATTATAAATATTTGGTCATGTTTTGTGTTTGAATATTGGAATGACCAAATAGTATTATTCTATGTTAAACAACTCTAACAAAGAACTAATCAACTAACTTTACTATTACAGAAATTATTTTTTCAAGAAAAAAACTGAGATGGAGTTTCATAAAAATTCAAGAAACCAAGATTACTTTCAAATAGAAAATATAAATGGCAATTCAACAGAATCGGTGAGATTAAACGGAAAGGTCAATTCATAAGAAATTCACCTGAATGCAAAAGCAAATAGGAGGAGAAATATAGGAGAAGCAGATTTACACTGCAAAACAAAGGGAGAAAAGGTATCGAAATTAAAGAGTAGCTTTGTAGCACTAAAGCAATCCAGAGAAGAAAAAGAATTTTCATTCAAATGACACAAAGATGACAAGACAATTTAAATAGAAAGGGTTGACCAACCATAGTGGCAAATGTAACAGAGATGAAAACAAGGGATGCATTGCTCAAGTTTATATCCAGTGCTGTTCCGAGTGCCGTCGGTACAACTGTGAAAGGCAAATTCTATCTGTAGCATTAGTTATTAGAAATGTTAATAAAACAAATAGCAGAAATTTGCAGTTAAAGAAAAAGAAGGAAGGACAATCTTCAAATAACACTGAAATTTGGAGAAAAGATGATATGGCAATAGAATAGATGACCAACAAAAATAAAATAAAAAAAGAAGAAAAAGGCAAGAAAAAAACTGTATTCATTTACATCTGAGATAGATAATAATAAGATATTTTGCATGATGAATTTACAATAAAGTAGTTAGCAGTCACAATCTCCAACTCAAGTGTTGATGCATTTAAATCGCAACAATTCCCTTTTAGCACCCAATTTAATTACATATAAAACAATCCATTTTATATTCTCTCGTTTTAGAGCCTTTTCTTGAAATTAGGCATACATATGCTCAGCACTCTATCTATGCTTGAAAATTCTGCCCATTGGCAGCATCAAATGAGACACCTTCATTTTCAGCCAGAGCAAGAGACCAAAATATTTTCTGCTTGATTGTCATTGCTTCGCGGTGTTTTTCAATGGGACTCTGTTCCCTTGAAGACATGTGTAATATCCTGAATTTCATGAAGTTCTTTATTGGTTATTATGAGTTTTTATGTCTATTTGAGCTAACTCTGCATATTAAGTTGAGACTGCAAAACTGAATTTAGAAATTTTGATTGAAATAAATGAGATTGGGTAACTAACGAAATGATACTAATGTTTTAGTGTGTTGAGAATTTTAGTAGGGTCGTTTAGTTTTCAATTACAGAAATTGGGTTTGTAGGTTTGGGGAAAAGAAAAAAAATATGTGTTCTTGGGTAGAAAGTAAACTTGTGAAAGTCAAATGACTTGGAATAAATATGAATAGTACCTTAGTGGTCGTTAGTGGGTGAGCCTTGGCATAACGGTCAGGTTGCTGCATTGTGACCTAGAGGTCACGTGTTCGAAACAAGGAAACCACCTCTCCACATGTGGAGGTAAGGTTGCGTACATCTAACCCTCCCCAGATCCCACAATGGCGGGAGCATCGTGCACGGTTTTTCCCTTTGTCCTTTTTTACCTTAGCGGTGGTTAATATTGTAATTAGGTGAAATAAGTTGTGTGACACATGTCACACCTTGGTGGAGAACCTCCACCTATACTATATAGGTATATATAGTGTGTATATATAAAAAATATACTTATATGTACATAAGCCTTTACATGTGTAATGATTAGACATTAAGGTGACAAGTGTCACTAACAAAACAAAACAAAACAAAAAAATAGAGAGAAGACACATGCATACAAAAAAAGACAAATCCTCCTTTGGAAGCTTGCTTTTGACCAACGGACTCACATATAGTATTGTTACATACACATTAGTTGTTAAAATGTACAACAAGAAAAAGAAAAACAGTAAGGTCTATAGGTACGGCCAAATAAGAAAGAAAAAAATAAATAAATAAAAGAGAAAAGAAAAGGAAGAGAGAGAGAGAGAGAGAGAGAGAGGCTTGAAGCGTTGAAGGAGAAGAGAAAGAGAATTGGAAAAAAAATCGGAAAAGCTTCAAAGAGGCAGGTCTACTAAATTCTTTTCAACCTTTGCAAATGTTGTTTTAATTTGTTAAAATTAGAATTTTACCTAAATGCTTCATCACAGTGAGTTTAGGATACCAAACTACTTTGTTTAACATGGAATCGTTGAAGAATTCTAGGACTTTTGAAATGAGTTCATATACTGAAAAACTGAACTAAACAGTATGGATTTAGGGCAGAAATTCTTATATCTTGACTTGTAATTTATAAATGAAATTTTGAGATACTAAATTACACTTCTTAAGGAGTTTATAGGATTTTATTTGGCTCAATATGGTTAAGTTTTGAATTTATGGTGGATTTTTTAAGTCCAAAGTACTGTGCTGTAAAATCTGGCTGGTAACCAGAATTTTCCTTCCTGTTTTTCTTAAAAATTTGATTTAATCAGTAAAGGAATTTACGAAAGTATGTGGATAGTATCAAAAATATATTCTTTAAATTTTCAAATGGTTCTGGCTTTTATTCAAATTGAGCTAGAATTCTATTTTGGTATATTTTTACAGAAAACATGTTTTTGCTGAAACAAAAGTATAAGTTTTGACAGCAGTACATTTAACAAATTTTATTGTATATCTGCAGTTTGTTTTTGAGGAAAAATTTTGAGAAATGAAATTAGACTTAATGGGGTTTATCCAGAATTTTATTCTACCAAGAAATATGAAATACATGATCTTTGTGAATTTTCGAATTGGGTTTGTTGCTGTTGAGAAAAAACAGGCTGTTGTGAGTATTGAATATTGTTCCTTCACATTGGATTTGGACTTGGTTTCTCATTTGTGTAATTTGCCTAGCACATTACCTTTATTGTAATGGTAGTTTACATCTTCTAGAGAAATGATTGTGGGGGGGGGGGGGGGGGAACCCATGGGATGAAAAGATATTTCTTTTTTTGTTCGGAATATTTATTTCTGGACATTAACAATTTTATGAAATTTGTCTACACTAATTTATGTGAAATTGTGGGTTTAGAACTATAAGATTTTGTCTCAGACTGAACCATTATAATTTAAAAATAAAAAACATTTTGTTGAAACAATATTTAGAGAAAGACAAGTTGGAACTTGGAACTTGGAACTGTTATATAAAAAAATAAGACCACATTATAGTAAAATCTAATTAAGTTGGTTGTTTACTTATTATGCTGATTCCAATGATCATCTATTCTGTGAGTGTACTTATGCTGCTGCTATTTAGCAAGAACTTGGTTGTTTACTACATATGGAGCTGCCTAGATTTTCTTCTATGCTTCACATGACAGATTGGTTTCTTAGGAATTCTACTGTCAAATGCACAAAGTCTAAGGTGTTGGGTGCTGTGTTTACTGTTACTATTTGGAAGATTTGGTCCGGTAGGAATTCTTACTTACATGAGGGAATTAAAGATTCTTATGACTATGCTGCTAGGAGTATTATTTGGGATGTGATTCAATATCTCAAGCTTAGTGTCACGATCCGATTCCTAACGACGCCATGAGCATAGAAGACACGCATGCTGGTTGGCTAAGAACATTCATTGACTGGGAATGGTTCCAGGGAAGGGGCGTGCAGGACCACAGGATGGTACCTCTTCAGAGTTCAGGTAAGTCGACTCGGTTCAGTTCGAGGTGCTTGTCGCTGGTCGTGGACTTGACTCTGAAGAAGGGAGTTGGCCATCCCTGCACAAACTGGTCGGGAGCTGGAGCCGTTCCCCTGACGAGGCCATGGCAGGCCGAAACCAGTCAGCATGTATCCTTGAGAGGGCAGGTCGTGGTGGCTGACCAGGGCGCTTGCGCGAGCTGAAGCAATGCCTTGGTGCCGCACGGGCCGTGCCGCTGCGCCAAATCTCTAGGCCCGTGACAAAATGGTATCAGAGCAGGACTTGGGGAAAAGCACAGGGGTGTACCCCCTTGTCGATTCGGGGGTCTTGAGAATGAAGTGGGTGCACTAAAGAGTCGGTGGGCAATCAATGCTGCTGGAGGAGAGCCTCCATCTCCCCATGAAGACGCGTCCTTTGAAGCCGGAGGGCCGCGCGCATCGGATGGCCGGAGGGCCGCGCGCACCAAAGTTCTTGCAAGTTCAAGAGGCGTGCAAACCGTTGTGAAGGGTGGCTATCAAGTCAGCCGGAGGGCGCTTGTTTGCTCGGGGTGTCGCGGAGGCGGCATAACGTGGGGTTGCGTCCCGAAGAAGTGGGCGTCCCTTTAGCCCGAAACCCCATCATTGGGCAAGTGCAGCCAGGGGTTGTACAAGGAAGCGATGGTGGGCAGGCGAGCATACCACTTGGAGGAAGGAGACTTTGGAATGTTGGACGCAGCGGAGTCAGCGCCGCACTGCGACGAGGGCGTCGCAGGATTTGGGTGGGGGAGAATGTCACGATCCGATTCCTAACGACGCCATGAGCATAGAAGACATGCATGCTGGTTGGCTAAGAACATTCATTGACTGGGAATGGTTCCAGGGAAGGGGCGTGCAGGACCACAGGATGGTACCTCTTCAGAGTTCAGGCAGGTCGACTCGGTTCAGTTCGAGGTGCTTGTCGCTGGTCGTGGACTTGACTATGAAGAAGGGAGTTGGCCATCCCTGCATAAACTGGTCGGGAGCTGGAGCCGTTCCCCTGACGAGGCCATGGCAGGCCGAAACCAGTCAGCATGTATCCTTGGGAGGGCAGGTCGTGGTGGCTGACCAGGGCGCTGCGCGAGCTGAAGCAACGCCTTGGTGCCGCACGGGCCGTGCCGCAGCGCCAAATCTCTAGGCCCGTGACATTAGGCTGGAAGATTTATTGATCATTTGTCAATGAAGGAAGCAGTTGCAGATAGCTATTTGAAGTTGAAGCTCAGTTTGTTTTGCATGTTTTCTTTTTCTGTTTTAATTTTGGCTGGAAGTGGAATTTGTCCATTCCATTTGTTGTATTGGAGTTTCACTCCTTTTGTAATTGTACTCTTTGATTTCAATTTATAAAACAAAAAAAAAAATACACCATTCAAGGAAAAAAAAAAAAAAAAAATCGAATTAAGTTTGGACTTGTATGCTATTAATGGTTAATTACACAAATAGCCCCTACTGCTGATATGTTATAAATTCTTCTGCAGATAACCAATTTAGAGATTAACTGAGGAGCCAAACGATATTTTAAAATTATGGGTCATATATGGTTACAAATCTTGGTCAGTCTACTTTACAAAATTGTAAACTTGGTAAAAAATTTGAAAAAAATAATTCCCACTAATTCAGAGAAGACCAGTAGGTCAGTTTCTGGCAGCAAGCAGGTGAAAATTTGATCATTCTTAAAAAATTACAAAATGAGATTTTTGGAATGTTTAATTATTCTTCCTAATATCTTGAACGAGTTTAGTGTCTATAAATGAAATTTTATGGAACCTGAATAAATGTTTGTGAGATGTGAATTTTCAAAGTCAAAAAGATTGATTTAGACAGTTTATTACAATTTA